TAGGCAGCCAGTTTTTTGCAGAAGCCACAGAAAAGACCAATGAAAGGCCATAAGAAAGTTCATCACACTTGACTGCATTAATAACCAGTTACAGAACAGTAGTATAGAAGCCAATAAATTAAAAACTCATGATGAAAAAGAAGTGGCAGAGACAGCTGCTGAGTAAAGTCTTGAAGCCCCAGCATGACTGATGCTGTCAATAGTGTGACCTATGCAGTGTGCCAGTTTCAAACACAAGCAGCTGCTGAGGTTGTTGATTGAATATACAAATGTGTAACAGGGAGAGCATCCAACTTCTTGCTGTGTTGAGGTTTGGCCAAGCCTAAAATTTTCTGTAATTTTGCCAGAGCATATTTCTGTCCTCTGCTTGCCAGATCTAAGAAGAAAGGTATTTTGGAAGACTGGGACTTGAATTTAGGACTATCACCTTAATCAGATTTAGAATGATTTTAAGAAAACCTTTGAAGCTCAAGTAACACATTAGGAAATGCCTGTGTTTGACTGGCATGCCTGATATCTCTTTCTGTTTCAAGTACAGTTGCAGGAAACATTTTCTTTTTCCTGTTGTAAGAGGAAAGGTTGATGAACAAGGAGAGAATTACAATAGAGCCGAGAATGGGACATGATGTGAAAACAGACGAGGAGATTCCAGAGAATGGAAAAAAAGAAGGAAAGAATTAGAGGTAAAAGGAAGGAATAGGATGAATTATTAAGAGACCCAACGCAGTTGTCATTTACACAGTTATAAATCAAGAGAGAGCGAAGAGCACTAAAATGATGTGCTCCTGTTCATTTGAGACCCTTGGGTTTGTCATGTGGATTTGTTCAGATTTCTTAATTTCTCTTTCGGTCTTCCATTTTACTTTCAGTGTGAAATCCAGACTTCAATCAGGGCTCAAATAAAAGTTTATTTTCTTGAAAGATATAAGCTGTATTTTACAGAAAGCAAAGGAAAGGGAATGGTAGTTTAGATGAACAGATATTTCTATGAATATTTTGAATAGAGGTTTTTCTTATTTCTATCATCTATATTCTACAAACATTTACTAAAACTAAGCTACTGACTCCAGGCCTCTTTCTATTATCTTGTGCTTTTAGTTTCTTTGGAGATGCCTTGTATGCAGAACAAAACATGAAAGACAAGCTACCATTCCTTGCCATCATGCTGCCATACAAAGTCCTTTCTACCTAAAGCACAGCTTTACACAGAAATGAATTAGGGTGAGTGGAATATGCACCCATCTGGGGAACAGAAGAGGGAACTTTACTGCCACTGTCTAGTCTGGAGCTCTTCGACTCCTGGGGCAAGCTAGGCAACGGCAGGAGAAGGTACTGGGGGACACTGACACTGGGCTGTGGCTGCAGAGCAACAAACCTTTGTGTGTCCAGGCTGTCAGGTCTGCTAGCACTGCAGGGCAGGTCTCACAGGAAGAAGTGATGACCACTCTCTGTTCTCATCTAATGAAGGGGAGCTGATGGCGCCAGTATGGGGCCAGATCAGATCATCCTGTAAAAAGGGATAGAGACAGACAAAGGGCTGAATGGGGGTCATGTTACCTATAGAGTAAAAGCTTGCTGTTGGTATCTAGAAAAAAAATACAGAAGCTATGCCTTTAGTAGCTATGAGGTGCTTCTCAGGTGACACCTGGTGGACAAAAACTAGAGGTGAAAGCAGCCTGCCTTCATAGCGCAAATCTGCACCATCCCTGCTTGCATCTGCACTACAGCACTAACTGCTGGTGTACCTATCAGGGGCCCTCCCTACTCTTCTTATTCCCACCAGAGAGCATTATTACAGCGCCCCAGAATAAGCACATATCATCCATTGACCTGTAATAGCTATTTTTTTTGCATCTGATTCCATTTTTTTCTCATATTCTGGCTGATGCCCTGAGTTGGACTATTTTCTGATCTGTGAGTCTGAGGTTAGACTAAGTGGAGACATTGTTTTCAGAAATAAAAATACAAGGAAAGCCTGTGTTGCTAGTAGTAACTGGATGCTTTTATAGTCTAGGATAACTAGACAATTTTATGAATGTCTCCACAAGTGGATAGTTGTCCCCACAGGGTTAAAGGCTTTGATTTGTTCTGATCATTAATTTACTCTCCTTCAAACTAATTCCAGTTCGCTTCTCTAATACTGGCTGTCTTCTGCTTGATACTTTACAACTCCCCTAATGTATTCCTGCTGAGGACCCAGAGATAAAGAACCAAAATAAAACCCCAAAAACCCACTCTGAAAAGAAACATCTACTTAGGAAAGTCTTTATTCTGATCATCTGCATCCAGTGGGTGGATGCTTATGCCTCCTGGTATGATAGGTGATTTCCTCAAGGATGTCATGGATGAGAATACAACATTATTGTGCAGTCCTTTTCCTCCCTTTGGCTTGAAGGATTTCAGGAAGATGGGAGATACTGCTGGGCCAATACTGTGACAGATAAGGCTTCTTCCATAAAGATAAGTGGTTGCGATCAATTCTTTAATTGCTGTCACTGCATCTTCCACGTTAACAGGGTGGGGTTTTTTTGTTGTTATTTGGGCTTTTTTTGTTCTATGTATACCTAGTTCCTTTAAATTTTAACAGCTTTACTTTTTCTCAGTATATTTCCATGCTTTGAGTAAAATCTTGAAAGCTTTTACAAAGCAAAACACACACAGAAGTCAGGGATTTGGTAACTTCAAGCACCAAACTAAGCTGAGAAAAAGAGAGTGTGGGAAAGGTCAGGGTGTAATTACCTATCTTATTTCTTTTAGATCTAGATTACCGGTTTACCAAAAGGACACAGAGGCCATGCAAGAGTTGTGGCATTGTATTTGGTCTGGCTGGGCCAGAGTTAATATTCCCCACTGGAGCTGTGCTTTGTGTTTGTAGCTATAAGGGTGCTGGTAACACCAGTGTCTGGGCTACCGCTGAGCAGTGCTTGAACAGCACCAGGGCTGTCTCTACCACCTCCCACAAAGGCCAGTGGGCTGGGCAAGAAGCTGGGAGGGGATACAGCTGTGACACCTCACCCAAACTGACCAAAGGGATATTCCATACCCTATGATGTTGTGTTCGACAATAAAAGCCAAGAGAAAGGGGGGCAGCATTCATTACTAAGTCTTTTGTTTTCTAAAGCAACTGCTACATGTACGGGGGCAGCACTTCCCAGGCTGGACCATCACCTGCTGATGAGAACTAGAGAATAAATCATTTTGCTTACCTTTGCTTCCCAGCGTAGACTTTGCTTTTATTCAGTAAGATGCCTTTTTCTCAAGCCATGAGTTTTTCATCTTATTTTCTCCCCCTGTCCTGCTAAGGAGGGAGAGCAGCTTGGCGGGCACCTGGTGGCCAGCCAAGGCTGACCCACCACAGGCATATCCTGGTTTAGGTGAGTCCTGCTCCACAGAGGGAATGAAGTTAGGTCCTGGCCCAGCTGAAAGACAGAGTTCACCTTCATACCAGCCTCACAACTTGATGCCTGACCACCCTGGTGTTTAGTCAGAACTAGCCAAGCCTAGCTCTGCTCCAATACCTGAAATTTCTGCATATGGTTTCTAGAGCATCTTGGTAAAGTCCTCAGGATTCTCAGTTACTTATGAGTACAGGGTGTGGCAAGCAATAATATAGACTGACAATCAAGAAACTGGTGAACTACTGAACAGTACCTGCATTACACTATGACTGGAGCCACCTTGTTAAAATGCTTGCTGTGGACCAAACCCTGAACGGTTACCAGTTTGCTGATCCTAACAACAAAAACCTTGGAAGGGCTGACAGTCACCAAAGGAAATCAAATACAAACAAGTTCTAGAAGACACGCTTCTTCCTCTGACATCTGATAGTGAAGGACAAGACAAAGGTGATTGTGAAACACTGCTGTGGAGAGAATACTTATACAAGCCATTTCAGGTAGCAATCTGTGAGAACAATCCTGCTTAATTTATGCTGATGACTATTTTCAGATTTTGAAATGTTCTGCTTTACTTGTTAATTCCTATTCAGAAAATACAAAGAAATCAAATGTAAGCACAGCCATAAAATATAAAGAGGAAAAATATATCAGGGAAGTGCTCTTAAAAACATCAATTAGGCAATAAAATGTCGTCAGCTTAGGCCATTTGGTTAGCATCTGTGAATGCTTTTGTGTTCTGCAGCTGGGAAAACACCAGTTCCTAAAATCTCTATAGCTAGCAAAGCCACTGCATGAATAGATTATTTCTATTATGCAGAAATGTTAATTGGCAACTCACTAGAAGTTTGATTGGTCTATGTGAATGAAAAGCAAGATCTTGAGAGTCCCAAAAATGTATTTAATAATGTGAAACTTTATTTTCTCTCAGGATCATGAGGACATATTCTGCTTGTCCTTAAGGAAGTAATCAAATACAAAACCTTAAATCCTGACATAAATGAAACTGGAGCCAGTAACAAGCATGCTCCATGAGTTGGGAAGGGAAAAGCGTTACTTCATATATGCAAGACAGTTAACCAGTCAGTCAAATTATTCGTCCCAATTAACACCAGCCACCGAGAGAAGAGTGGGACACAGTGCTACCCACAGCAGGGGCCACTTGCTGCCACACATTTGGTGAATCTCCACCTACACGATTGCTGAACAGCCCACGGGTCAGGCCAGCGCTGCCCAAGCAGGTCTGCAGCCCACCACTCCGAGGGGACACCCGCCTGCGATGCCCACCCTACGGCCCCCGCTCTTCAAGACAACTCAGGGGGCTCAAGCAGCACCGGGGAAAACAGCTCGGGACCTTTCGAGGCGGTTTCCTTCTCCAGGCTCCCGGCCCTTGCGGCTGCAGGCGCGCCCGCTGCCACCGCCCCCCTCCTCGCCCACGCACCTTTTGGGGCGGGAAACCCGAGGCAGCCCACCCCCCCGCTCCGCCCAACCCCCACCTTCCCGCGGTCGAAACCCCGGCATTTCGGGGCGCCTAAACCTCCGGCTGGCGCGGGGCGGGCCGCCCCTCAGCGCGGCGGGGCGGGGCGGGGCGGGGCGCGGCGCGGCGCGGCGCAGCGGGGCGGTCGCCACGGCCGCTCGCAACATGGCGGCGCTGGCGATGGCCGTGGCCGCGGCGGCCGCCGGGCAGCAGCAGGTAAAGGCCTCGCCGCGGCGTGGGGCCGCCGCCCGCCGCCCCCGGGCAGCCCCGCTCTGCGGGGAGCTGCAGCCTCGCACAGGGTGTAGGGATGGACGTTAAAAGGAAACCCGGAGGAAGCGGCGCGGGTTTGCCGAGCTGGCCTCGACTGGCAGCTTCCTCGCCAGAGCAGGCGGTTTTACCGTCTGCGTTCCTGGCGGTGGTCACGTTAAGGGTGTTCAGGGATGCTGTGAATGAGTTGACAGTTTGCAAGGGTTGTTAAGCAGATTGCGGAAGTCAGGCTTTTCTTGAACAAGGTGAAATGGGAGTAATCTGTCTAGTGTAAATTAAACGCTTACAGTCAGGTAGGTAGTTACTCTGACTTGTCAGAGACTGACTGCCATGAGAGGCAAGGCAGTTGCCTTGATTTAATATCGCAGCGTGGGGAGCAGCCTCTGTCAAACCAAGCTGATGTTGCAGTCTTGCCGTTTTTCTGAAGAAGAATGCATTTTTGTATACAGTCATCAGCTTGCCATCACTCATCACTCCCATTTTATACATGTGTGACTTAAAATTAGTTGAATTGCAGCAGTGTAAAAATGAAGTAATGCTGTTACTCTGCAGTGTGGTGGTGTCTGCTTAGAAATAACCAATGAACATTTGAAAAATACTGGGTTTGAGTAATACTTGATTTTGTTGTGTACAGAATGACAGCTGTTCCAGTACGGCAGGTGCTGGTCGACAGTTTCAGAATTGGAAGATGAGATCTGAACAAGCTAAGAAAGTTGAATTCATAAGAACTGCAGAAAAGCTAAAAACTCAGTAAGTTAAACACTTCATCATGACTGTATTTTCATGCTGTTTGGGAGGTAACTCAAGGTTCAAGGTAAGGATTTATGATAATGAAACCTTTAGGCTAAGATTTCTTTTTCAGGACCTCAGGCAGGTTATTGTGGTTGTTAATAGTAGTTCACGATAGGCTTATGAGCTCCAAAGTGCCCAGTTGTTCTAATTAGTGTTTGGACTTTGATCAGTCATCTTCTTTAGTAAGCTATGGCTGCATTAGATGCACAAAAAAGAAAGCGCCTGTGGCATAATTGAGTCCTCAGTTTTCCAGCTCCTCTCTGCTTACCTTAAGGACCTAAAGCCCTTAAGACATGGCAAAAAAGAGGAATTGTAGCAGCATTACAATAGCTTCCTCAGAGAAGATTGAAAGCACTTCACCTAGGATATATAGGCCACTGCTTTGGAAAATGGGGGTTCAAGACAGCACAGACACAGAAGTGATTTAAATCTGTTTCCCTGCATCTTGCGTAAGTGCTGTAACAACTACACTGGCAGCTGGAAGAACAGGGAGGTTTCTCATGAATGGATGAGCTTTATGAGGAAGAGCTGACGTAGCCACCCAGCTGAAGGAGAGGTTTGTAGTTGCGTAGTTGTGGATCCTGAATGAACAATGATACTTGATTCTCACAGCAGTGTTTTATGCTGTCTGACTGAATGCACTCCTCCTTGGTTATTCTGGGTCCTGGGTTATGGATCAAAAATTGACTTCTGGGTAATGTAGATGTTCCCAAGCAGCTTCAAAAAAGGCATGCCATTTAACTACAGCACATTGTCCTTTTGTGCTGTGAGGGCTTCCAGTACACTGTGTGGGGAGACTTGGTACTTGGGTCTGGTCTGTGAATTCCAGTGGACAGCAAAGCATTTATGCTGTGAACCGTAAACTGGTTTGAACCATACAGCAACCATAGTCTGCTGAAGAACCAGGCTGCTACTGACAGTTTCTTGGGCTGTCAGTGATGTTGCTTAACATTGGGATTCCTACCAGATGTCTGTACTGTGTGCCACCAGTGACCTGCTGTTCTGATCTCTAATGTGGTGGCACCAGACTTCACAGATGTGCTCAGGAGTACAGTATCTGTGGTCCTTTTACATGCAGTGCTCTGTAGGTCAAACTAGTATATTGACTGGTTGTAGTAAGGCAAAGTACATCCCACTGAGTTGTATTCTAAAGCTTCTGACCTTAGTAAGAAAACAAGTCACCTATAGCTCTCTGTTCTATACATAAAGCATAGTCAGTAAGGTAGCAGCTTTAGTATCAAGTTATTTGGATGCTAATGAATTTGAATCTTCAGTTGCAGGAGTACTGTCACTGTTAAGGCTGAGGGAATGTACTTGTTTTGTCTGTGCTGGAGCTCCATCTATGTGTGCAGCTGTATTAATACAGCCTGTCCCTGTGCTTTCCTGTGAAATTTTCATAAGGCTCCCTGATAGCATACAGATAAAATTTCGGGCTATTTCAGTGTGTGAATCACTGCTTGTCAGCGAGGTAATTTTCCTGTTAATTTCTTTCTCTTGTTCCAAGTTCTTGGGTTACTTTGGTGTGTAGTCTTGAAACTGCAGAAATGTTTTCCTTGAAAACAGTTGCAGGAACAAACGAGTGATTTGTATAAAATCTAAAACAGTCCTGTTAACGCATCCTTAGCCGGATACTAACCTGGGAAAATCTTGAGGCTTTGCTAAGCATTCCTGTGTTAGTCAGTGTTGGCAACCTTTTTTTCCAGGCTTGCAAATATAGAAAAAGACAAAAATGGACATCTTTACAATAGGAAGAGTAATTTCAGGGTAGACTACAGCATACTAGAGCTGGAACGTAGCATGACTGTCAGCAGGAAAACTGAAAGTAAGTAGGGTTTTATTTTCATTTTTGTTTGTTGTTTTTGGTTTTGTTTTTACTGCTGTTTTTTAAATGGTTTAATAATCAGTAGTACAGAGACATCAGTTCAGGTGGAAGGTAGATGCTGATAAAAGTGTGGTATTTCACCATGTGTACTACTTAGAAAGAAGACTTCCACAGTTTACTTGCAAAATTCAGAAACATAAACATTTTGGGCCTCCTGTGTTACTGTTTTCTTTTAATCTTAAAGATAGCAGATACCACCCACAACAACTTTGGTGGAAAATTACTGTTTTAGAAACTTTAAACCAATTTTCTGTGTATATTGCAAAATATAATGTAGTCTAGCTAAGGTACAATAAATACATACTTACAGTGTAAGTTTTCAAATGCTGATTGCTGCCTTTAAATATACTTTTAAGTAGTTCTGTGTTTGCATTTTTCAGATTCATGGGTAATGAATATTCAAAGCCAACATAGTGCTGTGACATGGTACACAACCTGTCCTACAATATCTGTTCCACTTACAGACTAATTAAATACTTCAGGGAAAAAATAGGTGACTCCCTAGTCACAACACAATACCTAGATTCTTTCAAAAGTAGTCAAATAAATCATGCTGTACCTTCTGATATAGCAGATCAGAATAAGTTGAAGAAGGGAAAGGACATGTAGCAACAACTAAAAATACACTTACCTTACAAATTTGTATGGTTTAATGGGCGCCTTTTAATTAATGAAACTGTCGTGGTTTGGGCCTGGTTGGCAGCCAACCACAATGCAGCAGCCCTCTCTCCCTTCCCCTCCGGCAATGAGAAGGGACAGAGAGCCAGGCTTGGGGTTTGAGATAGGACTGGGATGGGGAAAAAATCACCCTTTATGATCATGAGCGAAAGGCAGACTCGTTAGGGGAAGAAAAAAAAGAACATACATTTATTACAGACACTAACAACACACAACAGAATAGGGCAGTGAAAAGCATTGTCACATCTTGAGAACACCTTCCCCCCACCCCTCCCTTCTTCCCGGGCTCAGCTCTGCTCCCGATATCTCTACCTCCTCCCCCAGTGGCGCAGGGGCAGGGAATGGGGGGTGCAGTCAGCGCTGCCACTTCCTTCATCTTCGGTGAGGGGAGTTTCTGGAACTTGTTCCCCCTGCTCCATCATGGTCCCCCTCTCACAGGAGACAGTCCTCCACAAACTTTCTCCAACATGAGTTCCTCCCATGGGCCGCAGCGTTCCCCACACTGCTCCGTCATGGGTCACCAACTTCCTCCGACTGGAGTCCTTCCCACGGCTGCAGCCCTTCCCGAGCTGCTCCGGCGTGGGACATCCCCACATGCTGCAATCCTCCCAGTGCTGAATTACAGCAGTGGGACTACCTTTTCCCATGAGACCCCGGCCTTCTTTGGGCAGAGCACCTTGATCAATCAGGCAGAAGCCACAGGCCATAAATCAGTGTCTGCTCCACCGTAGATCTTCATGGGTGGCAGGGGGGCCACCCTGCCATCTCCCCACAGGATACAGGGGGGTCTCTGTTCCGGCACACCTCCCCCCTCCTTTCTTCCTTCATTCCTCCACTGACCTTGGTGTTCACGCAGCTGCAGCAACTCCTCCTCACAAGTCCAACTGCTCGTCACCACGTCCCTTCTTAAATACGTTATCGCAGAGGCGCAGCTGATTGGCTCAATTTCCCAAACAGAAGTGGAGCTGACTTGGAGCTGGGGGAGCTTTGAGAAGCTTCTCACAGGGGGCCGCCCCTATAGCCCCCTCCTCTGCCACCAAAAAACACCACTCACTCAACCCAGGACAGAAACTTAAGGTGCCCATTACATCTTGCAGTCCTTAAGAAATGTAACTATTTCAGAGGAATGACTAAGCTAAAAAGTTCAGAAAATTTTCCAAGGGTAAGAAGGGAGCATGGAAGTATGAATGGAGATACTTTTGTGGGATAATAAAGACAAGGATGAGAGGTGTAAAGCATTACATGTGAGATGTGAAGGAGTGAAGTGGCACATTCACATATGCTTTCCAAGTTTGTTTTCTCCTCATTGCTGGGTGTTTTGAGGCCTAGGTTAGAGTCTCCCTCTAAATTCTAGAGGAGGTGTTATCTGTATAGGCAATATTCTCAAAACTCCAGTTACCTGATAAGAGGTTTGGAAAAAAAAAAAAAAAAAAAAAAGAAATTGCTTTAATCTAGATGTGACTATCCTGTTGACCCCTTTAGAAATAGGAGCTACTAATTTTAAAATCTGTTTTACGTTGTGTGGGTAGATACATGGCCCATACAGTCAGCTACATGTAGTTACAGTCATGTTAAAATGCTTAGTATTATGGCAGTTTCTTATAATCAAGCAGAATTTATGTCCCTGCCTAGATAAAATCTGTAGTTTATTTTGGACACTTCATTGCTTTTGTTCTTGTATTGAATTTAATGCACAGAGAAACTGGTAGAACTATCAGCACCTTACTTTGTTTAACAGAAGCTAAAATTCTGCAGCAGCTATCAAAAATACAAAATAATGTGAAGAGACTTCAGCAACATTTAAAAGATGAGAAGCCTACACCAGAATGTAAGTCATGATGACAGATTCAAACCCATTTTTCTCTATAGACAATTTTCTTGCATAGTTGGGCTTGTGATTCTCCTAAAGATTTGGGATACTCCTTTTCTATCTGTCAGTTTTTCCAGGAGTCTGGGAAGGGAAGAATGCAGAAATGTAAGAAATGGTGAAAGACTGTGCCGTTCTGTGTGGAAACAGAGAAATTTGCTCCATCTTTAAAGTGGTGTGGGTTTGTTTCTTTAGTCTGTTTAAAGACAGGTATTTTCTATATGTTACTCTGCCTTCTGTAAAATAAAGTTAGTATTCTAGTGCCATCTAGGTAGAACTCTCTTTCATCTGGTAAGAGGACACACAGTAGGGTCTACAGGGAACTAATTCTAGGTGTCCACATGGCTTGAAGTGTAAGTTGGAATATTCTGTTGAAAATGCTGAAACAACTTGTTCAGTTTGGATGTTTTGAAACTTTTGAGAAATAGGCACTGAAAGAACCATTTTCCTATGATGCTCCACTACCTCGTGTGGAGCTCAGGTTGAAGCCCTCTTACTAGCTGAGGGCTTTCTGATGCTAGATAAAATGCATCACACTTCATTTATTCAGTGTCTATTTTATTAAAAATGCATTAGCTTCTTAAGATGTCAGGAAAGATACCAAGAACTAACAAGGCATGAAAGCTGAGCTAAGAGTTCTAGATTATATAACTGTACCAGTTTAGTTTATTATTTTTTAAAGCCAAGTTAGTTAAATTATGTGTTCAATATGTGTCCATAGAGATGTTGTGCTGGTTTAAAACAGATTCTAAAACTTTTTTCTACCATTGTAAAATAGATCTCTAGGCAGCTGTCTTACCGTCTTTCTCTGTATTGGGACTACAGCATGCTGACAGTAGAGGATAAAGTTTTACTTCGATGTTTCTTTGTCAGCTTTGTATAAGTAGTGACATGTAGGTTAAATAGGATTACTACAGCCTGCTGTAAACCAAAGAATTGAGTGTCCTTCTTAGGTCACTAATTACATTGTTATAAAAAACAAAAGTGGAAACTCTTTAGGATAAGGCTGTCTTATTCTGTGAATCAGTTGAAGGTTACTCGGAATCAGACTTACTTAACTGAAATAAACATTTATACTGGGATTTGCATCCAGTTAGCTAAATCACTATGAAATCACACCTTTTGAATAAATGAGTCAGTATTTTAAGGCTGTTGGAGATGGAAATGCATGCTTTTTTATACATTGAAATAAAAGTGTCACAGAAGTCTGTGCAAGTGCCTACATTTCTGGATAGTGCTGAATTACTGGTTAATTCTGTAAACTTCTTAACTTATATGCTCTTTTTTTCTTTTTTAGTTGTAGACAAGCTGAAGAAAATGATGGAAGAAGTTGAAAATGCAATCAATGCTTTTAAAGAGGAACAGAGGCAAATGTATGTTTATCCATGCTTCAGCTGCAAAAAACAGTGCTTTCGTCAGACACAATAAAAACTTTGCAATAATCAAGTAAACTATTCTTTTGATTTATTGTTTTGCTAGTGATTCCTGTGGTAAGCAAATCAAAACTCAAGCTACCAAGTTAGAATCTTGATAAACAGCCTTTTAGAGAGGCTGTTTATATAGCTATTGCAGTGATCCCGTGTCACAATGATTTGCCTATGAAAAGGCTTTTTAGAGAAAGGCTGCAGGAGAGATTAGATTGTGAGGTTTTTGTTGTTGCTGTTGTTTTGGTTTTTAAGTGGTTTTTTTTTTTCCCTTTTTCCCTACTGGTGTCAGGAGGGGATTGAGCTAGTTGTTTGAGTGACATAAATGTGTGCTTTCACTAAAAGGGTAAATTAATTCTGATTGTGTAGTGCTTTATTATGGGATTATTACAACCTTGTCATCTGTGTTACCATTTCAGTTCTTAATCTTTGAAGAATAGCTCTTGTGTGGCATTGAACAATTCCAAAATTCATTTTCAGCGAATGAACAATGAATACTGGATTTGTTTTCTTACATTTCAGTGTTTGTTCTCTTTTCAGATATGAACAGCTTTTGAAGGAGGAAAAAACTACCATTAATGAGCTCAGTGTCTTTGAGAGAAAAGTAGAACTGTGGGCGGTAGGCAGCTCAACAGAAAAAGTTTTGAAATTACCATCAGCCAAGGTCTCAATTGATAAAACACTGGAAAGGCATCTACCTGAAGAAGTACTAGAGTTTGAAAGATTTCTTCAGCGAACAGGAGGGCAGCAGGGAGGCTGGGATGATTACGATCATCAAAATTTTCTGAAAGTATGGACAAAACACAAAGGAAGGCTATCCTACATGGATGAAGCCCATGAGTATCTCTGTGGGAGAACAAAAGAAGATATTGAACAGCACGACAAATGGTATCAAGAATTTCTAATTTTACACAAAAGAAAGAAAGAGGTAAAATAACCCCTCTAGGGCTTTTGTAGCTTTAAGAAAAAGTATTTGTTTTTGTATTTGACTCTCTAGTGGTAGTGTTAGGTGGATTTCTGCTATAGTTGATGGTATATAACTGAAGTCTTTAGCATCCTCACCTTGCCAAAAGTATTTGTCTTCAAGAATTACCAATAAGCATAGACCTAACAACACACTGAATTGAGCTGTGTATTGCCAAAGTTTATTATAAATCCTTTTGATGGCAGTGGTCCAGCAACGTAGATAACAGTCCCAGAGCAGTAAGTGATCCTATCTGAAATTGCAGTTCTTGTTAATCTGTCCCTAAGAACGTCTGTCCCACTGTATAGACAATATACCTATGCCATACTGATGTAGAGGATTACAATTCCCTCAAGAACTATCCATCTGAGTAATAAAATATACACTGACATAAAAAATGACCTGTAAAATAATAGGTGGAATTACTAATTTGAAGACCTGAAATATGTTTGTATTAGAAAAAGCATATTACACCACCATTTGTAACTATACAAAGTTAATATGAATACCATAGCTTAAATGATTTTAGCAGGCACATGTTAAACCTGCTTGTGTGATCCATACAGTAGGAAAAAAAATTGTGAGAAAGCAGGCAGGGGGGCTTCTTTGCCTTAAGTTTTGTGTCTAGTGGACTTTTAATTCCTATCTGTAGCTCCTATCGTTCGAGTGTGGTTTTATCCAACCGAATCAAATGTATAAAATTTTCATGAAAACCTTATTTATTTTTTTCCCCCTACTATCCTCTTGCAGTCAATTAAGAAGTGGAAAGAAAAGCAGCAGCAAGAGAAAGAAAGAAACTTGAAGGAGAAAGAGAAATCAGAAAAAATGCTCAAGGAAGAATGGCTACAGCATGAAGAAGCTCAGAAGCAAAAAGCAGAAGAGAGAAAAAGACATCAAGCAGCAATTGAAGCATGGAAGAAACAGAAAGCAGTAGCATTTGCAATGGAACAAGAATCACAATTAAAACTAGAAGAAGAGAAGGAGAAAAAGCAACAAAAAGAACGCCAGCGCCAATGGCACTTGAAGTTACTGTTGGAAAGGTACATGTTGCAGAAGAAAGAAAAGGAGGAACTTGAAAAGCTTGAAAAAGAGAGGAGAGAGGAAGCTGAAAAGGAGGAAAGGAAGAAAATAGCTGCAGAAGAAATTACTAAGTTTCAAGAGCGTGTGCGTAATTATGTCTTCATTTATGCACGTTGCTTTAAATTCACCTACTTCCTCCTTCAATATAATCTGTTAAACACTTTAAAATCCAAAATTCATTATTTTAAATCTATTTTTGATTCACTATGAATAACAACATCTGTTACATACCAGAAACAGTACAAAACGTTATTTTAGACGAAGATGTTCTTTTTTATCAATATCTGAATTCTACATGATTATTCAAGCCCATATTTCTTTTTACATATAGAAATGGTTTTATTTACTTCAATGTGAAAATGTTTGGGAAAAGCAGTTTGGGCTGTGTTGCTCTCCATGCTATAGAAAACATCAGAATGCCTGATAGTTGTATGCAGTTACGAAATAAAAAAAGATGTTTGAATATCCTGCAGGTTTCAGTAGCTGTACGGTCAAGTTAGATCCCATATCAATGTAAATCTGCTTACTGGAGAACTTGTATTACTGTCACCATTCACACTAGAGTTCATTTTTATAAACAGGGATTAAACTAATACAATCCATTTTTTTCCAAAATTCTGTAACTATAGTTTGTTTGTGCAGGACAAGCTATAGCTACCTACTCTAACAGAATTTCAAAACAAAAAAACTAACTATGAAAAGCCTGCCTATGTATCTTCATACTAATTGTTGTACTTCGAAAGAAAAGTTTGCTTTTCCATTCATTATATGTTGCAGGATCTACGTAAACTGGAGCTAAGGATTCTGCAAAAACAAGCTAAAGAAGTAGAGAAACGAGAAAAAGAAAAAAGGTTGGCAAAGTTAAAAGAGAAGGTAACTTACCTTTTCGTGTGTTTTAATCTGAAGTGTGTGCAGCTTCATTGTTGCCCCTCTTACTTTTTTCATGTTATTGCCATTTCCTGTGATGGTGTGGAGGGAAATGTCTCATTCTGGCTAGCCAGCAGTGTTTTGTTTACTCTGCACCTGGTCTTACTGTGAGAAATGCTCAGTTGCCAGTGATCAGCAGCTCAGACAGGATGCATTGTGAAGCACTTATTACGTTCTTGCAAGACCGGGTGCCCCACCAGGCGGACGCGCCTGGCAGCCATGGTGTGATGGTTTATATCCCTGTCTCTGGACAGCAAGTTCCCTCCCCTGATTCCTCACTGGCTGAGTACCACAGGGTGTACAGACCTCCCAACCCGCCTACCGACACGCCTCTTCATGTCTGTGTTCATACATCACATGTTCATGGAAATGGACCTTGGCTCTCTCCAAGGTGGAGTTCATACGCATGAGCTCATCACGCAACCGTACTAAGAGGAAAAGTTCAAAAGCTCAGGTTCCCCAAGCCTTTTGGTATCTCCATCCACCTAAAACTAGTTCCAAGTACTGGGTCCTGGCAGTTAACAAAAGGACCGCTTATCTTCTGGCCACAGGCTAGGTGTGAATCACTCCTGTTACTCTTACCAGGCTTGTGAAAACAACATTATTTCTTCCCCTTTCAATTTCCCCGTTTTTTATTTATACTCTTGTTGCTTTTTGCATATTCTCAGAGTCTTGCTCCATGAGTATTTCCTAGTGTTGCCAACATGATTTTGCATCTTCACCCTGATGACAGGTCATCTCTTGCAACCTTAACCTTGCAATCTCTTGCAACGTAATAGCAGTAGTTGTAACATACAGCTGCTTGGCAATCCCCTTTACCGCATCTCTGGTATAATTTATAAACTTCTGTTGATTATAATAAACATAATTTATCTAGTCTACGTTCTTATTTATAGTTACCCACCAGAATAAAAAGGACCCAGACCCTACCAATAATTTGATTCCTTGCCTTATGCTCATCTGGGACTTCCTGAGGAACTCCAATATAGTCAATGTATATTTGATCATCAAATGATACTCCTAGGTTCCTCTGCTCGTCTGCCTGAAGGTTCTGATCTTTTTTCAAATGCCAGGGTGAATGGCATGGCCAACTGAACAATTGCACATGTTCCCTTCCAGTCTGCTGGTAGGATGGGTCTCGGGACTTTTCTTCCACTACACCACCCTGGGTCTGCCCTGGGGATACTTAATGCTGAGTAATTTTCTGCATCATCATTAGTCACATTCAAGGTTTTTGTGCATAAGTAGAATTCTCCCGAAAGTCTGGTAGCCTTATTACCCTGTCGTGAGAGACAAGCTGTCTGGTTACCAGAGGCAGTGGAGAAAGCAGGTGGTACCTTGATATCCTTGACCTGTATGGCAGGAAATAGTAATGCTAAAGACTTGCAAGTTTCATTACCCCAAGCAGCCTTCTCCTGGTAGAGAGGTCAGCCATGCACCGCATGACCAGTGGATCCTGAGTCCAAACCCATGAGGAAGGGAACAACTTGTACTGTGGGTCTTCCTGTTGCACAGACATAGAAGTTGCTATGATTTAAACTCTGTACCGTATATTTGACCCATTCTACCCAAGCATCTGTATCCCTGTACCCCGTCTCTATTTAAAAAAATTGTTTAAGATCTTTTACTTCCACAACTGCCACTATTTTACGGTCATTAGGGGAACTCCGTTTTCCTTCTTCAGGGGATTGAGTGGCCTGCTTTTTCTCCTTACTAATCTTAGGTTGTGATGCCCTCAATTCTATTCTAAATCTTGCTACGGGGTCCTTCCCTGTTATATCTGCCCCAAGGCCATAAACATTATCTACATGGTTATCAGCTTTTTCATGGTTATTACTATAGGATTACATTGTAAAAGATGAGCAGGTGGGATTGGGGACCTCTTTACACATGCTTATTTGATCCTTTAATGCCTTTGCTGTATTGGACAGGGGAGGTATATAGGTCCATCCTTGCCAGGTGGCAGTCCACCATACATTATTCCACCCGGAACATGGTGGCCCCCTATTAATTTGTGTCTCAGGGCACAGGTATTTACTTTCACTACTTAACCGTCTTTGGGTCTCAACAGCTCCACAGCTCAACATCTGACAGGCATCAAATTGGATAGTTTGGGGTCTTTCAGTCCTAGTTACATTTATCCAAAGCTTAACAGGATATGCAGCTCCTCCCTTCTACTTGTCATCTGTTGTGAGCAATTCCACAATGGCTAGTGTCAGAAGGTATTAATTCCTCCCTTTAAGACCTATCAGAATCCATAAATTCTCTTAAGTGTCATAACGTTATTCCTTTGATTACACTGATGGCAACAAATATGACAATGATTATCACATTTACTGTCAGCCATCCAGCCTGGAACCATCCTTTCTTACACTTAAAAGTGGATAGTTATAATACTATCATAATATAATATAATATATGTAATATATAATACTAAACAAGATTGTAAGAGTAGTAATATTTGAATGATTAAGCATGTAAAGATTATCAAAATTACAATCACAACAGATTGTTTCACCCATGAAAGGGTTGGAAAACAGCTAGTCAACCAGGACCAGTCTGTATTAAATCCTTTTACAATTTGATATCCTGCCCCAAGTCTGACCTGGTTAAATAGCTGGTCCCCTGCCCTCTTCTTTTTTTTTTTTTTTTTTTTTTTAAATAAGATAATTGAAATTATCACCCACAAGTTTTTTGTACAAACTTCAAAGTAAGCAGTGATTTTTGTTCCACCATCCATGGAGCAGAGACTCTTTTAGCTCAAGAGTGGTGAATCCAATGTCCCCTCTTTGCTACCTTCAGTGCTGTACAGGTGGTTAATAGTACCTGGAAGGGTCCCTGCCACTTACTTGTCCGTGGCTCATCTTTCCAGGTTTAATTCCAACTCAGTCCCCTGGTCCGAATGGGTGAGCCAGAGCGTCCAACCTGCTTTGGCGATGTGAACTGGTTGTGAAGCTACTGGAGGGTCTTCCCCAGGGCCAACAGATGTTGTCAGAGATCCTGGCTTCTCTGCAAAGAGAAGCCTCCAGGAACTGATACGTTAATTCATACAGGTTACATGATTTTTCCAGTCTGTGTTCCTATTCTTAATAATACTATTGGTAGTGCTTGTAATCAAATTTCCTGGCATATCATACTCAGTTGTAGTTGGAGAGTTTTGGTTCCTACATGCTACTCTTCCATTGGCCTGAGGCCTTTACAGGGTATGTAGGTCCCATTTAATCCCTAAATGCTTCTCCCTCTTTCTGAACTTCTGTGATAAAAACGGGGACCTCTATCTGAAGATATGCCTGCTGGTATACCAAATCAGGGTATTATTTGATTCAGCAGCTGTTTCACAACCTCACGAGAGTTATTGGTGCGACAGGTAGGCTTCTGGCCATCCACTAAATGTGTCCACTAAGACCAAGAGATACCTATAACTCTCTGTTTCTGGTAACTCAGCAAAACTTATCTGCTAATATTCTTCTGGAATCAGTCCACTCTTAGTTATTCGCAAAACTACCCTATTGCCCATATTAGGATTATTTACCTTATAAGTTTCACATTTTTCAACAACTGATTTTACAATTTCAGTCATGTGTCTACTAATTACAGTTTTCCACAAATGTTTAACCAGGCTTTCCCTTCCCCAATGAGTAGTTTCATGTTCTTTTGTGGCCACCTCTCTCATTAAGCTAGGAGTTAACATTATTTGCCCTTGAGATGTAACTGCCCAGCCACCTTAACTGTTTTGTGGCCTGTTTCAGGGATTTCCCATTCAATGGCAAACAATTCCTGGCCCTCTGAACCTAAGGGGATGCAAAAGAAGGCATCCTTTAAATCAACCACTGTAAACTACCTGAATTTTTCATTTAATGTAGTTAACAATATACATGGATTTGCTACTACAGGATGTGTATTTTCTACTACTCTATTAGCTGCTTTTATGTCATGTACTAGCCAGTAATTCTTCCCATTAGCTTTCGTTACTGCCAATATTGGAGTGTTATATTTCGATTGGTGAATTCCAATCGTAGTATGATAATAACAAACATATTAATGATTAATAATGATCATATACTAATATTAATAATAATCATATTAGTAATCCAAATGTGCGAATTGCATTTACTAGAGGTTCAAGGCCCCTTTCCACTTCTATTTTAATCGGATATTGTTTCAATCTTACCGGCCTGATTCCCTGTTTCAGTCGGATCTTTACCGGTTCTGCTGCTCTGGACTGTCCAGGTAATTCCACTCGCCCACACGATAGGAACCACAGCATCTTCTACTTCACCTGGAATGCTATATATTGTATTATCCATCAAGTAAATCGCAGCTTCCTTTAATAGTTCTTGAACTAAGTGGTCCTTCTAAGGTGTTAATTACAGAATATGTTGCTTCATTATCAATCAAAATTGTATTTCTCCTTTCCCCAGTTAGGCTGTAACCAGAGGATATGCTTGGGGCAGAGGTCTCCGTTCCCCTCCATGCTGGTTCTGTATTTATTAGAGGGACTTGTGAAGGGTATTTTGCTCTTAATGGTGGGCAATTCTTTTCCAGTGTCTTGTCCTATTTCCTCCTGTAGCACATTCTCTTCCCTTGTTATCTCTGTGCAACCCCTCTGCGGGGAGTCTGAACTAAAGCAGTGGTGGGCTGATCACAATAAACCTCCTAAGCCACATAGTAAAGGGACCCTTTATCGCTACCGGACCAGCATTCCCCACAGCCTGTCTGAGGGGTGCAATTACCATTTTGTTTTGTTTGTTTCTTTTTTTTTTTTTTTTTTCTCCAGCTTCCCTTCATTCATCTGGCTTTTGAGCTAAACCCATCTGCTTCCCTGAACTCAGCTTCCCCCTCTATTATTTGCTCCAAATCTTGATTCTCAACTCCACCCACAGCTCTGGCCGCACCATCCACAACTTCAGTCACAACCCTTCTCCTTCTGGGGGCTATCATTAAATCCAAGTCCTCCTCTGGACTTTCCAGATATTTAGCATAGTTGCCCTATACTAAACTGAGAACAACAGTGCTTGAGTGGTTTTTTAAGATCTTTTTCTACCGGTTACACAAGCGGATCCTGCTGTGCGATGTTAAACCCACAATCTTTTTGCCACTCAGCATGTTTTCTTAAAGAACATAACCGCATAAGCTACTTCATCCCATTTGCCTTCCCGTCTTAAAATTTTAACAGTAGCTGCAACAAGGTGTTATAACTCAGTGTACCATTTATTGGCCACTTTTCCCCAGATCTTAACCTATACAAAGGCCACCACTGATTACAATATTTTATCAAAGTGTCCTGAGTAACTGAGCCCCTTGGGGGTCCATCAATTTGTTTTCAAGGTTGCAAAATGCAACCCAGTGGGGATTTTTCTCACAATTCCCCCTTTGGAGGCAGTGGTACCCATGATCTTGACCTTTGTTCAAGTCCTGACATAACCAGTCATCAGTCGACTCATATTTTTGGCCAAAAACCTTATTTCCCAAAATGGGCTCCTTTGTGCATGCAGTAGCACAATATTCCCTTTGCACCCGGAACGTTCCTTCATCGTATCAACATCCTCCCCAACGGACTGTCTGGAGGGATGTTTTCAGGGACCTCCCTTCCCTGAATTTTCCCTAGGCCTAGTATTTTTATTTCCCATTTTTCTTCCTGAAACTCTGTCACTCCATTCTCCTGCTTTATCCTTCTCTGGACGTTTTTCTTGCAGAAGAACAGAACTGCAGATCCAGACTCTGCACTCACTCCGTTCTAACGTATGTCTCACTCTCACACACCCGAGCCTCCCCGACTGCCAAGGCAATACTTAACAGCCCTCTTT